ACCCGGCTAATTTTTTTTATTTATTGTAGAGATGAGGTCTCGCCAAGTTGCCCAGGTGGGCCTTGAACCCTCAGGCTCAGGCAGTCCACTCACCTCGACCTCCCAAAGCACTGAGATTACAGGCTGATCCACCGAGCCTGGCCGCGGCCTACTTTTAACTGGGTCTCCCCACCTGACCTCCCTCTTGACCCCCTCCACCTGTTCTGTTTGTGGTTGACACGCAGCTACTTTCAGCAAAGGATTGAATATGCTTACAACATAGAAACAGCAAACAGGAAGTTACTAGTGAGGCAGACTCGGAAACAGGGTGTGTGTGGAGGGTTAGCTCTGAGCTTCATCGGCTTCCCTCTGGGGTTCACGGAGCCCCGCAGTGCACTTGGCGCAGTGCTGGACAGTGGGGACACAGCGGGCAGTGACACAAGGGCCCTGTCCCGGCACGCCTCGGCCTTCCTGGGGAAAACAACACACACAAAATAAGCCCAAGTTATTTGTAAGCTCAGGCTGCTGCTGACAGCTCGGGGGTGGGGGGCTGTCCAGGTGAGGCACAGGGGCCTTGGGAAGCCTGGAGGGTGCTGGTTCTTAAGCCAGGATAGGAGGCAGCTCATGAGGAGATGGGGCGCCAGGCTGCGGCCCGGAGTGGAGTGGCTGCGGTCCAGCAGGCCTTGTAAGTTGTGCCCTGAACGCACAGGCCCCTTGGCACCTGCTGGCACTTCTGAGTGACTCAAGAGTTTGGAATCTTGGAGGCTGGCCAAATACTTGAGGGAGAGCCGGATGCCTGGGGTTGGAAACCAAGGTTAATGCCACCAGCAGACCCCCAAAGCAGAGGGACAGAACGTGTCCCCTTGGGATGTCTGACTTTGGACAGCACTGCCTCAGGAGCCAGTCCAGGTCAGTCACGGTGAGGGGTATTCCCAGTCGTGGTTGGCATTGACCTTGTGGACAGGTGTATTTGACAGGCAGTCTGAATAGTCGAAAAGTAACTGAGTCCAGACACCCGCCTTCTAGCAGGGCATCCAGCTGTCCTTCCAGACTCCTAGCACAGGGCTGGCTGTATAAGAAATGGACTGTGGCCGGGCATGGTGGCTCACACCTGTCATCCCAGCACTTTGGGAGGTGGAGGTGGAGGATTGCCTGTGCCCAGGGGTTCGAGACCAGTCTGGGAAACTTGGCAAGACCTCATCTCTACAGTAAATCAAAAATTTAGCCAGGCAGGGTGGCGCATGCCTGTGGTTCCAGCTACTCGGAAGGCTGAGGCGGAAGGATCACCTGAGCCCAGCCGGTTGAAGCTGCGGTGACTGTGAGCGTGCCACTGCACTCCAGCCTGAGTGGCAAATGGAGACTCCAACTCAAAAAAAGAAAAAGAAATGATGGTTTGTGGTTGCAGCTTTGCCCTCCAGGCTGGGCCAGGGCTCAGCCTGCGAGCCGTCCTGTCAGCCCAGCCAGGCCCATTGGTGATGCGTCACCAGCCCTTGGGTGAGATGGTGCAGAGAGCAGAGTGTTGACCCTTGCCTCATAGGTGCAGAGAAGGGCCAGGGCGTGATGTCGTGTGGATGTGAGGGCTTTGGCAGTGGCCGTGGCTTGGTCTGTGCACGGTTGTCCGCCCGGGCTCCCGAGCGTAACTGAGGATAGGAGGAGGGTGCTTGCCAGGGAGCCCATGCCCCTGCCTGAAGTCCACTGTTCAGAAGTGTGGAGGCCCCGCAATGGGCCGGCACCCACAGTCTTGAGGTGGCATTTGGGTACTGCCTAGCCAAGCGATGAGAGCTGGCCATTCCCTGCCGCCACTGTTGGCCCCACCTGGCCCTGCTGAGCCAGAATCTGTCCTGCCCAGGTCCCGGTGGTGTCCATGTGTAGGAACAGGCCACACGCTGACTCTGGAGGACACGGGCTGCGTGTTTTCTAGCTCTCCCTCTGGAGCCTCCCATGAGTGGAACCGACTCTGGGAAATTCCTGATGACTGACCCTCGCCTCAGAGGACCGAGGATGTCCTGAGCCGAGGGGATGGGGCCCCAGCCATGGCCCTCTCCCTGCAGGGCACGGAGGGCTGTCCCCACGCCGCCTCCTTCTAGGACAGGCAGGACGAGGGGCACGCAGGCCCCTTCCGGTCGTCTGCAGAAGTGGTATGGGACTCCCAGGCCGGTTACACTGAGTCACCACCTGGAAAACCCCAGGGACTCCAGCCTGGCCTCACACCGGCTGTGTCGCCCACTTCCTTTTCTTGCTTCCTTCCCTGGCCGCTTCCCTCCTGCCCCTCCCATGGTGAGCAGTGGTGAGTGTCCCGCTCTGCGCTGATGCCACCAGCCTGCGGCTCTGTGAGCCGCCCACCCAGCGTCCTCTGAGATCTCAGAAGGCGACCTGGGCTGAGTAGAGGGCAGTGGATGGGCTGGAGCTGCTGCACAGAGGGGTGGGGCGAGCCAGCTGGCCACAGTGTGGCTGGACTTCGCTTGACAAGGTCAAGCAGTCTGATGGCCGCACTGCTCTCGAGGAGTGCTGGGTTCCCAGGGTGCCGCCCTTAGCTGGCGGCTGTCTGAGCCAGGGGCTGAAGCTCAGGTAGGCTTACAGCAGCACCTGTGAGCCCTTGTGGGACTTTTCTAGTCCGTGGTTATCAAGGCTGCCATGATGACCACATGGAGCGTAACTCGGGCCTGCTGGGCCTCGGGAGCACTGCAGCGAATCTTGTGTGCAGGCTGCGAGGCCTGCTGGCTCTGCCTCTGCTGTGTGGGAGGGGCAGCTGGGGGAAGGGGGCGCGCGGGCAGAAGGAACGGGGGCCGTGGCCGCCTTCAGCAGCACAGTTACAGTCCCGGCTCCTCACAGCAGGCAAACACCCGGGCAAGCCTGTCCCCCGTCCCCGCCTCAGCCCCGCAGGGCTGGGCTGAGGACCGAATGGAGAGTGTGTGAAGGGTCTGCCGGCACTCAGCAAGTGACCTCCCGGGTGACAGACTTGGTTTCCTGCCCCTGCATCATCCCAGTGGCCCCTGCCAGGCTGTCGTCTGTCTCCTGCTGCGAGGGTGTCTTCCTGTCCTCTGTCCCGCGTGGTGGGCAGCCATGCCCCTCACCAGGGTGTGTCTGCTCCTGGCCGCTGGGATCCTGCGGCGGCGGCAGCCTTGAGCTTGGCCCCTTCCCTCCCGCTCCCGTGGTGAGCAGTGAGCACTGGCAGTGTCCTCGAAAGCTGTTTGCTCAGGCGGCCAGGGCACGGCCGGGGAAGCCCTGACGCGCCCCTGCCTGTGCCACAGGTCCACGCCTACATCATCAGCTCCCTCAAGAAGGAGATGCCCAATGTCTTCGGCAAGGAGAGCAAAAAGAAGGAGCTGGTGAACAACCTGGGGGAGATCTACCAGAAGATCGAGCGCGAGCACCAGATCTCCCCGGGCGACTTCCCCAGCCTCCGCAAGATGCAGGTACCTCATGCCAGTGGCCCCGAGGGCTCTGCGGGCGGGTGGCCATCGCGGGGAGAGAGGAAGGCCCGGGGCACTGGTTCTGGAGGGAGTCCCAGCCCCATGGGGTAGGGTAGGGGCTCCCAGAACGGAAGCGGTGGGTTAATCACCGGCACCGCCCAGGCGCTGACACAGCAGAGGGCAAAGTGGTGACTCACCACGGGGGGGTGTACCAGGCACTCCGCTGTCCTGCGGATCCTCGCTGCGCTGGAGGAAGGTGCTGTGGTCCCCTCCTGTCGACAGGCGAGGGGCCAGGGCGGGTGAGCTGAGCCCCCCGGTGGGTACATGGGAGAGCAGCCTGGAGCCCCGTGGGCCCACCTTCCCAGCCCTCCCCCGCCCTCGCCCCCAGGAACTCCTGCAGACCCAGGACTTCAGCAAGTTCCAGGCCCTGAAACCCAAGCTGCTGGACACGGTGGACGATATGCTGGCTAACGACATCGCCCGGCTGATGGTGATGGTGCGCCAGGAGGAGTCCCTGATGCCCTCCCAGGCCGTGAAGGGCGGGGCCTTCGAGGGCACCATGAACGGGCCCTTCGGACACGGCTACGGCGAGGGCGCCGGCGAGGGCATCGACGACGTGGAGTGGGTGGTGGGCAAGGACAAGCCCACCTACGACGAGATCTTCTACACGCTGTCGCCCGTCAACGGCAAGATCACGGGCGCCAACGCCAAGAAGGAGATGGTGAAGTCCAAGCTGCCCAACACGGTGCTGGGCAAGATCTGGAAGCTGGCCGACGTGGACAAGGACGGGCTGCTGGACGACGAGGAGTTTGCCCTGGCCAACCACCTCATCAAGGTCAAGCTGGAGGGCCACGAGCTGCCCGCCGACCTGCCCCCGCACCTGGTCCCGCCCTCCAAGCGGAGGCTCGAGTGACAGGCCGCCCGCTGCCTGCAGAGTCCCGGGAGGCAGAGGTTGGGGGGCCGGGTCGCCACGTCTCAAGGTCCATAAAGACTGAGC